CTGTCTTGGAAGAAATTCAGACAGAATGCTCCTTAGAAGTGAGTACGGTGAGACTTTGTCTCACATACTTTGGACATGTCTAAGGAGGGATCAGTCCCTGGAGGACATCATGCTTGGTTAAGTGGACAGTCAACAAAAAAGAAGACTCCTAAGGAGATGGATTAACACAGCAACAGCAACAATGGGCTCAACCATAACAATTGTGAGGATGGCACAGGACTGAGCAGTTTTTCAATCTATTGTGCACATGGTCACGATAAGTCAGAACAGACTTGAAGGCACCTAACAACCTTATTTTATACCTTATTTCAAAGTTTCCTTGCAATTTCTTTTGCTTTCTATTTATTGAGATTTGAAAAGTTGATTAAGTTGTTGCTGTTCTTAAGTGTCACTGAGACAGTTCCAACTCATAGTAAGTCTTTTTCCGAGGTCTTAAATCTTTGCGGGAGCAGAAAGGCTCATCTTTCTCCCATGGAGTGGACAGTGAGCTCAAACTGCCAATTCTATGGGTCACAGTCCAGTTTTATCCTATGGAGCCACTGTACTTCCTATTTGTATAAATTGTTTTTGCTGTTAAGTGCCATCAAATTAGTTCCAACTCATAGCAGATCTGTATAGGGATCAGAAAGAGTGGTTGGTGAGCTTTAACCACCAGTCTTATGGTTAGAAGTCCTGTATTTATCCTATAATGCTACATCAGGACTCCATTTGTATAAGTTGCTGTTGTTGTGAAGTGCCGTCGAGTCGGTTCCGACCCATAGCAGCAACCCTGTATAGGGTTTCCAAGGACCAGCTGGTGAGCTTGAACTGACAACCTTGCAGTTCAAACGGCTTTGTAGTCTGGCGCGTTTACCCACAGCGCCACACCAGGACTCCCATTTGTATAAATTGTTGTTGTTAAGTGCCATCGAGTCGGATCCGACCCATAGCGACCCTGTAATACATACCTTTAAATTTAAATGAAATTGTACTTAAAACTATATGTTTTTATCAACATGAAAACTTTAAAGTACTTGAGTCCTCTTCTAGCCTATTTCAATCTTCCTCATTTTTGTATTTATAGACAGGGCTTTAATTTAAGACTCAATTCTTCAAATATGCTATGTTCTCTATAACAACAATATTTACCACCACTATTATATTAATTCTACATTGAACTAGCTTCAGTCCTCACTATGTGTATTTCCCAATTGTTGTGCTCTTTTAGATTTACTTTTTGTGGTAGTGTATTTCATGTGTTAAGTTGATTTCTAGTGATTACACAACACCATAAGGTGCTCTAGTAGCCTAGGGGGATTACACACTAGGCTGGTAACTGCAAGGTCAGCAGTTCAAATCCACTAGCAACTCTTCAGGAAAAGATGAGGCTTTCTGCTCCTGTAAAGATTTACATCCTTGGAAGCTCTATACAGTGTCGCTATATGAAGTCAAAACTGACTTGATGGCACTGGCTGCTGTTCCATAGTGTACTGTGTAATGCGTAGTGCATAGTGTAGTGTAGTGTAATCACTTTTGATGATGTGATCTGATGTGATCCACCAATCAGATGAAAAGATATTTTCCTTAGGGATATGGTCTGCCTCCAGAATATAAATGGATATTCTGAAAGCGTTTTCTCTTTTGTGACCTGCAGTTTTCTCGTCACCTGACCTATAGAACGTAGGACTTACATCAAAAGAAGTCTCTGGCCAGGTACCTGACTTGGGGAATTTCCATCTGCTAGGCCCGCAACTGTCTGTGTGAGCCAGTCCTTTGAAGTAAATCAATTTCAATCTCCGTCCATATCTACCAATCCATTTATCTATCAATGTATTTATCTATCTTTCTCTCTCTCTACCTCTATATACATCTCACTAGTTTTACTTCTCTCGAGAACCCAAATTAAGAAACTGGCAGGAGCACACCTCAGAAAATTTGAATGATAATGATATACTTTCTGAACCATCACATATCTAAGAGTACATTTCTCTCATAAATGAAATCATGCCTGGTATAAATTCTTGCTTCTAACACTTCAATTCTGGCATTTAAAGTAGCCAGTCTGATTTCAGAAAGTTAGGGATTGAATCCACCAGCTGCTCCACAAGAGAAAGATGAGGCAGTCCACTTCAGAAAAGATTTACAGCTTTGGAAATCATGGTGGATCAGTTCTACTCTGTTCTAGAGTCACAATAAACTGGAATCAACTCAATGACAACAAAGCTTTCCTGTAGGGTCTTAATTTCTTTAGTTTATAAGCAACCTGTTTTCTTCTATGCAGCATTTACAGTACTTCTATCTTATTTCTTATTAACATTAAAAACTTCCAAAAACACAAAACAGACTTACTCCTTTCAAGCTCAGATTCAAGTGCTTTGGAATACTTTTATCAACAGTGTCTTTGCTGACTGCCTCTGTTCTGTTTGTTCAAGGGTCACTAATTATACCTCTTGTCAGCAGTTCTAAACTACCAGCTGTTCTACAGGAGAAAGATGAGGCACTCTGCTCCCGTAAAGATTTATAGCCTCGGAAACCCTGTGCAGGGTCACTATGAGTCGGAATCGACTCCACGGTACTTAAATCTGTTAGATTTCAGTTTGATATTCCATACTTTTCAGGTGAATATTAACTACGAACTATCTCAAATTTTTCTTTAGACAACTGATTCAATTTTCTTGAGGGTATATTCTGTTCTTTGATCCTTATAATGAAGTTTTACAAATTCTGTTATGATTTTTTAAAAAACTCATCCATCCAGTCCCCTGTTAATTTCAGGCTCTCACAGACTTCTCCATCTGAGCCTACTGTGTAATCTCACCTTGTATAGAACATTATCTCCTTAATTTTTACAAAATGTTCTTGTTCCTGGATTTTTATTAAAGCACAAAGTAGATGCTGTCTAAAATTAACTTCTCCTCCCTGTAGCATATCTTGTCTATCTTTTTCAAAGCATACTTTTACTCTGGATGGTACAATGTTGTTTTCCTTTTATGTGGCAGAACTGTCTTCAACTAATATGAAATCAAGTAATGTCCCACAATGGCTTAAAAGTTCATGAAGTATCTGGATGTTATTAAATGCCATCGCTTAGATTTTAGCTTGAGTTCACTTTTAATATCAACTTGGTGATTTAGAAATACAAAATTCTCTCTTAGCATTATTTTTCTTTATGTTTGGAAAAACCTGCTAGGTAACAGGCAAGATTTCAATATCCAGCTTTTGCTTGAGTCAGTCTCCACACTGGGACTTTCTCACAGTGCTGTTTCTCTACACCATGAGGAAGAACACCTAACACACCTCACAGGCTTTCTATGCAGCTATTTGATATCTAAGAGGGGTATCAAAGAGTTTGTGGAAAAATTGAATTAAAAGATAATGGAATTTTCCCATGAACTTTCTGAAGTTTATTCCATATAGTGAAGTGAATTCCAAGTGGTATACTGTCCATCAGTAAGAAATTTTGCCCCATCTTTTCCTTATCCCTCAGTGGGATCATCATAGGAGTCACTCCACTTACTTCCCATAATCTGGATTATATCTTCCTGGGAGTGGGACTTCCAGATAAGGCACTAGGCCTTCATAAGTGACCCATCAATAGTATGCTGTTGTTTAGTGCCATCAAGTCAGCACCAACTCATGGTGACCCTATATATATATAGTATATACAGGAGAAATTCCTCAGAGTTCTCAAAGTGGGCCTTGGATGGCATCCATATGTAGGTTAAGGATAAATCAAATAATTCATTTTCATAACTGTTGTCATTATTGTTTGGTGTTGTCAAGTCCTCTCTGACTCCTAGCGACTCTATGCACAACAGAACGAAACACTGCCTGATCCTGCACCATCCTTACAATCGTTGTTATGACTATGACCACAACAACGGTACTCAAATATTGTGCTCGAGCTCTCATATTGCAAGAAATTTATTTTGGTGCAAATTTTGGTGTTTTTCTTTATTAGTTTTCCAGTGCCCTTATGATGAAAAAATTCTCTCTGGAGAATATACTGGTAAATTCTGTTACTATCTAAACAGCTAAATCATTACAATGTATAGATTTGTAAAAGACCAACATCACTTTAAACCAGAAATATTTATCATAATAAGTGTTATAGAAGGAAAAAAAATAAAAGAACAAAATCAAAATCATCTAGAAAGCATACAAAATTACTTAACCAGTATATCACTGCCTGGAATTCTGCATGACTCTACTGTAATAATTGACTCAAGAATGGTGAACCTGAGACACTGAAAAATCCTGAAGAAAAGTTATAAATATACTCTATTTTAACTCCATTTAGTATATAGTCCAACTCTTTGAAAACTAGTAAACCAAGCTTGAGTACCTGCCCTAGTAGACCTGCCAGAACAATACCTATTCCAGATCAGATGATAACCAGATAAATAAGTAAATATATAACTATTCAATTCCTATACATTCAGTATCTCCTAGAATACATTTTGGGCATGGCATGTAATTTTCCTAAATACTAACAAAAAATTACTCTTATTAAATTATGTATGTTCACTATTAATATGATCTGTTTAATAGAGACAGAGAAGAACAAATATCATGTAAATACATTAAAAGAAAACAAATGCCATCAACTATTTTACATAAAAGTAGAAAAAATTTCCCTCAAAATCTTTCTTTTGTAAGCAAAATGATGACTGGGCACTCTTAACAAGAGCACTATGACTTCACAAATGTGTTTCATTTTTTTACTTAAAATAATTCTGTTTTTCTCCCTTCCCTAGTTTTTCTAATTTGTAAAAAGGCAAATTAAATTCAAAACGTATAGAATAATTGCTCTGAATTGCCAAAACCAACAACAAAAAAACAGTTTTCCTCATATACAAAAAAATAGAACCCCCCTATTAAAAGTAGCAAACACATAGGCCTTATCCACTGAAAACTGCTCTAGAGAAAAATGGTGACAAGAACTTAGGTACGTTGCCATCTTAAAAATGCCTAAATTCCCTGAAAAACAAATCAAAATAATTTAATTTAATTAGCTGTACCTGCTCATCTCTTTGTCTCCACTCTTGCCAATTTTCTTCTCGTGAATCCTTCTGTACTGGGTTGGACATTGAAAGTTCATGTTGAGCGTTACAAATGGCATGGGAAGATTTTTGGGGAATTTTCTTAAAAGCAAGATTCCTAAGCTACAAAAGAAACAAAAAATATATAAATGTGGTTGATCATACCTATGATAATAATTTTTTAGAAGGTAAAAAAAAATACTATATAATATTTTTGTACTTTTAAATACCATTGCAAATACCTTTATGCTAACTCAAACATCCGAAATAAAGTTGTGTTTGTGTATTATAATCCTTGTAGAACATTAATTTTTCCAGGATTTGAGACATTTTTGGTGCATTAATACTATACTACAATATTTTAATGCTTCCTCATGATTAAAGGGAAGACACTTACAGGAATAGAAAACAGAAAAGTATACATTTCAAACTGCAAATCAAACAGTCAAAAACATTAAAGTTTAATAATTAACAAATTATACATTTAATTACAGCCTAAGCCACTCTGACAATTGCTTTGTTAGTACAGAAAATATAACGAACCAAAACTGTACTGGCCAATCTACTGACAAGAAGAATAATCTGAAACACAGTAGGTGAAACATCAGAGAAAAATACTGAGAGGCTTTAAAATAAAGATCAACAATTTTGACTGATAATTACTACATTAGAGAATGTGGTGGTGCTGTTGGATAAGAACTGGATTGCAAACCAAAAGGTCAGCGGTTCAAACCCACCAGCAATTCTGTGAGAAAAACGTGAGGCTTTCTGCTCTTGCAGAGATTTACAGCCTCAGAAACCCCGTGTTTGCAACTGATACAACAGCACTTAGCAACAACAACTGTCCTGAAAGATGGGAGTGATAAGAAACAAACCAGTCTAAGCTACAAGTTTCTGCTGGAGAAAAGATATAGAGAAGTGGATGCTTCTGGATATGAAGCACTAGCAGGTAGATTACTGCTTTCCTTTACAGGAAGTAGTCATTGGTAAAACTGCAAATACAGAAAGTTATCGAAGTGGAAAGGTGGTATCCTTTGTGCTCACTGTTACACACTCCTAATGCAAACTCACTAATGTAAACACTATGACCTACTTTTTATTCCTCCTCTACCACCTTTAATTCCCAAAAGAAAATGGTTGGCAATCAAAAGTTTTGAATGATTAGACTTCTGAAAGGTGATCTGCCAGTAAAAAATGGTTCTAAAGTCACTTTCTGCAGGGCAAACATTTAAAAAAGATATTTAGAAGAAATTAAAAATGCTTTTTTCTTAGTCTTGGGACGTTATAAAAGGAATATGAGAAAAATAATACTTTTACTACTTCTCTCATGAAATGATATTTAAAAGTTACTGTAAATCTGACTGGTTCTTTAGTATTTTTTAAAACCTTAAAAAAAATTAGTTGTTTTTTTTCCCCCCCCCATATACTAGAATATACAAGGAGCTCTGGTAGTGGTTACAAGTCAGGCTGCTAACTTCAAGGTGAGGAGTTCAAAACTACCAGCAGTTCCACGGGAGAAAGGTTTTCTATTCCGGTAAAAATTTACAGCCTCAGAAACCCTATGTAGGGTCCCTATGCATTGGAAACTGACTCCACGGCACACAACCATAACCACCATGAGAATAGTTTGTCACATTTCTTTTAAAAATTATGGGCACATTAAACATAAATCCTGTACCCCATGCTCAGAATGTCTGAGAGAAAAGTGTCTGTCATGCATCTACTACTCCCAAGAACCAAAAATAAACTAAACTTATCCCCATCAAACTGCCCCACAGGGTTTCCAAGGTAGCAAATCTTTACTGAAGTAGACTGCCACATTTCCTTCCATGGAGCAGTTAGTAAGTTCAAACTGCTCATGATTAATTTAAAAACAAAAAGTTATAAAATGGTCTATTACAGAATTCTATTTTTGTTAAACTATTGATAAACTTATATATATGTAAGAAAATATTCATTGGTTGCATCTTTCGCTAGACAAATAAACAACCTTTGTTCCTTTTAATACTTCACTATTTTTCAGAAACATTTTGGACTGAGTATATAAACTTGTAAAAAATAAATGAGATTTAAAAAGATATATTTTCATTACACTTGACTTTAAATACACACAAATCTCCATCCATTCATCTGAATATTTATGGAGAACTTATAGACAAGGTACTATGGCTATATGAGTGAACAAGAAAGTACCTGTCTTTATATTTATAGAATGCAAACATTTAACAAATTTTAATTGCTACCTCATTTGCTTCACTCTGTTGCTGTTCCTTCTTTTTTCTTCTTTTCTCTCTCTTTTTCTCATTTGTAGTTGATTTATTTCCCAAAGATTGAGATTTCCCAGTATTCCGACCTTTTCCTTTTCCAGGCTCAGAATCAGAACCACTGCCACTATCCACTTGTAACAGGGCAAATCGAGAAGCAGTAGTGGGAACTGAACTAAGTACTGCTGAGGCCATTGTGAAGATTTTTCTTTTAAAATACTTCTGTTAAGAATAATTCCTGCGGGGATGGACAGAAGGGGTAAATGAATAAACATGTTCAATAAAATCTGCTCTAGACTCAAAAACACCGCATTTATACAAAACATTTCTTTTGACATTGAACTTGGTGTATTTGGACTCATAATCACAGTCCTCTTGGCAATAATATATTTTAAAGTAAACAATGTAAAATAAATGATAATTTGAGATTTCACAGATAATAACTATTGTAACATTGCCACCAATATAATTAATGCATGTATTTTTCATATATGGTCTTCAGAAATTCATCTTTCCTCTTTCCCTTAAATATCTCCATAATTAGTACACAAGAGAGTAAATTAAAAATACTGCTACAAAATAATATAAACCTTTATAAATAAAACTATCAAAATATGATGCTATTGTTTCTCCACATACCCTTCATCTAGGTCTACATATTCTGAAGGCAATGTTTCTATCTCTCCAACCCTTCTCCCAAAGAATCTTGTGCTCTTCAATTTATATCAATACCAAACAGCAGTTTTGGCATCCTTGAGTGACTCAAATTTGTTACTTTGAAACATTCTTTAAATTCAGGGAACACAAATCTGAAGGAGAAATATCAGAGTTGTATGGTGATTAGACAAGGTTTTCCAAGGAAATTCTCGTACTACTCTCATAAAAGAGCAGATGTATTGTTGTGATAGACAAAAATTCCTCAGGGCAACTCTCCTAGCTATTCTCACCAATGCAGTTTTCCATTGTCTTAAAACTTCTTCATAGTAAGTCCCCATGGTCTTTCTGTACCCTTCAAGAAAATCTATCAAGATTACCCCTGTGGCAACCCAGAAAACAATCACCATAACTGAGCTGACCTTCCTGCTCTGAATTTAACAGGCCCAGCAAATCTCCTTGAAAGCCACAGTTTCGAAGGACCTTTATTTTGAAGGGACTCTGCCAAGATTAAGACAGGTGTAACTACTGAGAGAAAGGATCTCTGGTAGTGTGGTTATGAGTTAGGCTGCTAATCTCACAGTGAGCAGTGTGAAACTACCAGAGGTTCCAAGGGAGAAAGATGAGGTTTTCTGCTCCCGTAGAGATGTACAGCCTCAGAAACCCTATACAGGATAGCTACTAGTCATACCCAGCTCCACAGCACATAACGCAACCCAATCCAAGTCAACTACAACGAGAACTTGTCTGCTGCCATCAACTTATTGCAAATACATGCTGAGTGTGTTCTGTTTAGAATAAACCCATGTATGTACGAACTGGAACCCAAGTAGCAATACATTTGACTTACCCTCATTATTTACAGAAAGTATCCTAAATTAAAGTGGCATACTGAAAAAAATCATAACAATACTTTAATAAAAGCATCATTTTTTCACTGTATACATAAAAAGAGACCCTTAGCCCAACTACCTTTTCCTCAAGTTCCAAGACAGGAGGGAAAAAAAAAAAAAGGAGTAAAAAGGAACATACAAAAATTTGCTACCTTAAGTCTGGGTCTCGAAAGTGCTACTAAATCACAGAACTGAAAGCAAAATAGAGAACTTAAGCTTCCTCAACTAAAGGAGACTTTTTAAAATCACTTTTGGCACTATCTTTTAGTTCACTATAGTCTCTGAATGGTAATTCAAGCACAGGTAAGAGTGGTTTCATTTGCTCTTCAGCATTTTTACAATCTTTTAGAAAGGTATCTTGAAGGTCCACAGGTAATTTCTAAATCGTGACTTGCCTAAGGTGATTCCACAAATTAGTGGCAGAATTGGGACCTGAATTTACATATTTGCTCAACATTACTCTCCAAGTCCAAAAAAGCCCAGCAACTACTAGATTATTATTTCCATTAAAAAAGACACAGATTTTCTTTTGTGTATGATTCATAAATGTTTAATTATTTTATTTTGAAATTTAGCAGGCACACAAAAAAACTGAAATTTGTTTTCAAAAACATTTAGATTAAAAGCTAAAATGCACACGCCAAGTACCCACACTAAGATTAACACAACATCATCACACTTCTGTGTAAGTCTCCCCAATAGCATCCTGCATCCACAGATTGGAGTCCTGGTGTGACACTATGGAATAATGCACTGGACTTCAAGGTTGGTTTGAACCACAAGGTCAGCAGTTCAAGTCAAACTATCGAGCTGATCCTTGGAAACCTTATACAGGGTTCTCCACAAGTTGGAACCAACTCCATGGCACTTAACAATAAGAATCAATAGATTATCACTTTAGTTACTCATCCTTTGCTTTCTTCTTTGCTGCGTTGTTAAGTGCCGTCCCGTCAATTCCAACCCATAGCAACCCTGTATAGGGTTTCCAAGGAGGAGCTGGTGAGCTTGAACTGCCGACCTTGCCAGTTCAAACGATGTTTTGCAGTCTGACGCATTAGCCCACAGCGCCACACCAGGACTCCATTTCTTCTTTATAGTTTTATGTAATTTATAGTTTTCTGTCTCAAGTCACAGTGCTCATCTGAATTAGCCACAGTCATTTCCATAATACCCTATTGGTTACATGAGCCCACCCTCTGCAGTGAGAAAGGAGTACACAAAAGTGTCAACACTAGGTGAGAATTATTGGGTTCCATTTTGAAAGCTAAGCATTTACACTATACTTAAAAGTGTTTTCCAAAGGAAACAAAAATGAGAAGCATGTATTCTATCTTACAACTTAACCTAAAAATCCAGAAAAAAATGCAAAACTTTCTATTTATTTGTTAAACAAGAGAAAACAGGAGATATTTGAACATGTCACCTGGCAACTATTAATATATGCCTATTGCAATACTATGTTAAAACCCATTGTTCCTATGACCAGAAATACGCAAATCAAATAAAATACCCTACAAACAGATGACATCATATTGATAAATTATGACAAATTTTCAGGTTTAAATTCTTCCTGCAAGCATGAGATTAAGGCTTCAGAAGTTCTTTTCACAAGAACAAAAACACTACAAAATTAGAACTGGATGGTGCCCAGCTATCATTACTGAACATTTGATCAAAAGTTCTATAGAAGAATCCTGATCAAAAAGGGGAAAATGAAGACAGAATCTCAAATTCTCATGGACTAAAGACTTTCTGGAGCCATGGAAACTGGATGAGCCTTTTAAACTACTGACCTGAGATAGTCTTTAAGCCTTAAAACAAAAATATCCCCTGATGTCTTCATAAAACCAAACAATAGTCTAGCTTAACAAGTTTGGAATGTCTGTCTTGAACATTATGCTGTTTTAAGAACTATTTATAGGGATCAAAAGACTAGAAAGGAACCTTAGGAGGACACCATGAGTCTACATTAATGGAAGGAACAACTCAGAAAAGGTTGATGGGAATGCTTGCACAACTTAAAGAATGTAATCAATGTCACTTACTGTACATGTTAAAACTGTTGAATTGGTATATACTTTGCTGTGTATAACTCAACAACAAAATAAAAAATTTTTTTTAAAGATTACAAAATTAAAAATAAATTACAGACTCAAAAACATCATGTTGTTGTTGTTAAGTGTCGTCAAATCAGTTCTGACTCATAGCGACACTACATAGGGTTTCCAAGGAGCAGCTAGTGAGCTTGAACTGCTGACCTTGTGGTTCAAACTGACCTTGCAGTCCAGCGCATTAACCCACAGCACCACACCAGGACTCCCAAAACCATCATGGCAAATTTTAATTCTGCTTTTTTTTTCCCCCCGAGATCTCAAAGTATTTTAATTTTTGTCAAACAAAATAGCTACACAATAGTATTTTCAATCTAGTTGAGATGGGCAAAGGAAATATTTAAATGTATACTAAGCATATACTCCAAACATAATCATAAACACATGCATTCTTATGCCTCTCATATCCAAATTAAATCTGTTTTAACTTAGTTGTTATTAAGTGGCATCAAGTCAGGACTGACTCATAGTTACTCTGTAAGTATAGGGTTTCCGAGGAGTGGTTGGTGAGTTTGAATCACCAATGGTGTAGTTCAAAATGACTTTGAGGTCCAGGGCATTATCCTGCAGCACCACATCACATCATGTTAAAATTCTCAGTAAAGATTTAGTTGGTTTCAGCACTTTGAAAACAATAAGAATCACTATTTTAAATTATTAACTGATGGGACAGATTGTGACAATTGCATGTGGTAACTGTTATTACTGTTCACAAATATTTATTACTCCTTCCTAAAGGAGAATTATGTATCACTTGCCTGTTGAATGTAGACATGACCATTTGACTTCCTTTGGCCAGTAAAAAAAGACCTTTAAAAAACCCTTAAAAGGGGATTGTAATCATTGCAATGAAATGATGAGTGTAAAATTGATGTTCTCCCATGTAAAGTATCACTGTAATTCACAATAAAAACTATGTTTAAATATACACACACAAAAAAAAAAAAAAATTACGGAAAAAATCCTTAAAAGTTAGCACAGCATGAACTTTTATGTAGCTTGCTGTGTATAGTCTCAGATACTACCCATCTGACCTAGCTTGGGTGGCTTATTGATCAGAATTCCACTAGCAGATGATACAGTAATTTAATACAGGAAGCAAGTGTAAATGGCTACAATTTGATGAATCTGACCTTTACTTATGGATGCAGTAGCTCAAATACCAACAGAGGGAAAGAGTTTTCACATCAAAGATCAAGCCTATCCCTCAGTATACAGGGTTGACAGGGACAGGCAACTTAGACATTGGCTAACTAAAATGGGAGGGCTTATAAAGGCATGAGAAGGAGCTCTGGTAGCGTAGTGGCTACAAATCGGGCTGCTAATTTCACAGTCAGCAGTTCGAAACTACAGTTGTTCCATGGGAGAAAGATGAGGCTTTCTGCTCCCATAAAGATTTATAGCCTCGGAAACCCTGTACAGGGTCGCTATGAGTTGGAATAAACTCCATGGCACATAACAACAACAAAAAGTACAACATAAATGTATGAAATAGTTGGCTTTCAAGTTTTCAAGAGGGAGTTTAGTTTCAGAGTGT